CCGCAATTAATAATTACATTAATAATCTACAGAATTAATACAATTAAGGAGCCCAAAGTAATGTCTTAAAATGGCTTGTCTGGTCTGTCGAATGGTCAAACATCCCAGTAGTGTTTTCTTAATATGAAAAGTTTATATTTGATATTTTTCTCTCCACTACGCTAAAGTTCAGTGAATGTAAATACGCACATATGTAAAATTTTTAGTAAATTTCTGAGGTATTTTGGTTAAGTATTTTCAATTTAATTTAATGCTACTTTACAGAGGACAGATGAAGGTAATGTAGAAGTTATTTAGTCTCAAAGCAATAGTCTGATATTAGTTAAGAAAGAGGCATTGAGAGAAACTAAACAGTAACATAAAGCTGTCCAACCTCTGCAGTCTGGATGTGAAAATGTTGTATACATTAATTAACATCGCGGCTTTTACGCACACCAATTTAAAAGCCCAGTGACCAGAAAGATTACGCTATTTTCATTTCATAACATCGAAGATTAAAAGTATAAAAGGCAAATGAAGTGAAGTACAAAGTAGATTACTGGCTCAGAAATATACATGAGTAAAGCGTAGGAGTACAGAACAAGAGTAATACCTGTACCCATCGCTGACTATACTGTATCATCAAACTCCATTATTTCTTGCACTTATGATTTCTCTCATTGTAATCAGAAAAAATGCATCATTTTATAAAAAATGGAAACATACAATACTGTTTTCCAGTAATACATAATATTTTAAGTTACATAACTCATAATAATAAGGGCTTTTACTTTTAATGCTTTAAGTCCATTTTGCAGAATTCTTCCACCGCTGATTTATAACTGATATTTATAACCTCAGGCTCCTGACCTACCTTCTCTGTCCTTTTGCTTTCATGCTTTTCAGTACAGGAACTACAGTGAAGTCATAGATATTACCGAGGAAAAACTTTCAGAAAAACAAGAAATATTGTGGATTTTATGGTTTGTTGTCAGAACTGTGGAATCAGAGTATTTATTATTCTTTCTATCAATGATTTACAGACTCCTCTGGGCTTTTAGGAGTTGCTATATGTGCAGAAAGCAGACATCAGAGCAGATTTGGCACGAGTACAGTGAAACATCATGTCCATTTAGAGAGCTGTCAGCTCTGCTTTCTCTGTGCCACTTCAGCACAATCAAGGCCTATATATGCCACCTCTCCACAGGTCTGAGGAAACACAACCACGCTCTTCTCGGCTCTGCTGTCTGAGCAAGATACAGTATATAATTTAAAAGGGAGCGTGTGTGGCTGTGACACTGACCCAGGGGCAGACGAGATTAAAGAGTTTTACACAAAGAAAGAGAGAAAGGTTTTTTTGTGGAAGAAAAGAACTCATGAGTCACTGAACTTGTGGAAAGCAGGGGATCACAAAAGAGGATCAGGACCATCTTAAAACCTGCTTGGAGCTTCAATTATGGCACCTTGAGTCTCCTCCACCCATCAGATGGAGAGTGCTGTATGAAAGGAGGAATTAATTATAGAAACTGTCCAAGAAAGGCTGACCTGTTTTGTGTTGAATGCCACTTGAATAAGATGCAAGAAAGTAAAAGAAAAGAGTGAGGGTAGGTGAGAAGAGTGAAAAGGAGCAATCACGTGCTCTTAGGCTAATTCTTTTTTCCTGTACATGAACAAATCAGCTGCAGGGAGGGAGTGCCACGATTAAGTGTTAAATAAAACATGGCCAGCTGACATGAATTGATCACAGAGAAATGTGGGACAGAGAAAGGTGATTCTTCAAGAGTAGCTAGCATAGCTGTGAAAGACCCCCACAGGGGTAGTGCCTGCCTGTTCTCCAGTACTTAATACAACATCATCATTGGTCCTTGTCACACAGATTCGATTACACGCAATCTTCTGGCGCTTTGATATAGGCCCGATTGTGTTGTGTGTGGGTTATTGTTTGCAGTCGGTTTCAATATAGGACAGATACTGTACGTGTGAGGGTATTTGATTTGATGTGCAACTATTATGTGGTGTTACACAGCAAACCAAACCAGGGCAGGTAATGGCTGTTGCGTCTTGTTAGTTATGTAGTGTGGTCACACCCCCGCCTGACCTCATTACTTTCTGCTGTGATATAAAGGTGTAAGGTCAATGGTGGGAAAGGTCTATGCAGGTCATTAGTGTGTGTATATGAGCGACTGTGTGTGTGTGTGTTATTAACCCATTACATCATCATTACACACATTGTCTGGAGACCTCACACTGTCACATCTTCACCGACCTGAACAATCACAAGGACACACACAAATGTGCAAAACCAAACACGTGTTATCGCTTCAAACGCAGATATAGATTAGATTCAACACAGATATGTTGAATTGTACGTGTGTGTACCTGTTGACATTTATCGTTAGTTACTTAGCAAAAAATAGCAGCTTTGAAGCTGTTTCATCTATGATGAGTGATGCTTGCAGATCAATTAATATTTGGGTTGTTACACATAACCATTACACCCAAAGCTAACATAATACGGCACAAGCAGAGTCTCAGCCGTTCAACGCTTAGTACGGTGTTATTTACTGGGCCAAATGCAACTTTCAGAACTCACAATGGCAATGTGTTGCAGTATATGTTTATCACCATCTCAGTTAGTCCTTTAAGTCCCTGAATCAAGCCTTAAATCTGAGAAGATGAGGTGACGAGGATGTGAGGTCAATGCTGAAAGGGAAACAAGACAGCCGTGCTTTGATGTTAACATGCTAACCACGACGATGCTAACATGCTGGCGTTAAGAGAGTGTCACCCATATCATCTATGCCATCTCAGTTTAGCATTTCGCATGCTTAACATCTGCTAATTAGCACAAAACCAAAGATAGGTAAGCTGAGGCTGATGGGAGTAGCATTCGTTTGGGTATTTGTTCATTAATTTGATGATGAAGAAGAAAAGCTAGAAGAAAAATCAATACAATTCGTCCCATGGAGATTCTGAATGTCTGTACAACATTTTATGGAAATACATCCAGTAGTTGTGTTGCTAGCATGGCAAACAAGAAACAAGTGATGAAAAGCAGCGAGAGGCGAGGAGAATAATCAAGACTCCAACATGAAGGGAGTCCCGGGGATTTCGTCTCTAGCCTGTTATATCCATCACCAACTTGTCAGGTATCAGGTAGCATTAATTATAGATGCCTTCTGTGATGGCTGAGCTGTTTGTTTAGTGTTCCTGTAAAATTGGACCCTGGATTTGAAGAGGAATGGGTCAGCGAGGTCACATGTGAGTGCTGCGCTGCTCTTTCTTCCCTGCTCTCCTCCAATTTAGAACCAACAGTCAAAGAATAATGAGAGGAGAAGGAAGAAATGGGAGCAAGAGAGAGAGAGAGACAAGGTGAGAGACAATACAAGAGGGGCATGTTGAATAATACATAACTGAGAGAAAGAGATTGGGGGAGATATGCAGAGCTTTTTTCACGGCTGCTGTTTGCAAGCCAGCATACAGTACACGCTCTCTCTCACACACATGCACAGACTCAACACTTCACACGTACATGGACACATGCATTCACTCAACAACTTTGGATTTCACCTCAGACCACAATCGCTAGGGAAATTACCACAATCTTAATCATTTACACATCTAGCTACAGCTCTGCAGGCCAGGGCGGGCACTCCCCACCCGTGGGTGAGTCTCCCTGGACTGGGCAGTCCAGCTCCTGCCCCTGTCCAGCACCGGGGACCAGCTGGTCTGAGCAGGCTCTTATAATACCTCCGTTATTAGACTTGGGAAATGGAGACATTTAACACGGCTGCAGCTGAGACTAAAGCCCCACGGCCCTGTCTGCAAATTACATTGCTCTCACAAACAATCCCATTGAAATAAAGCCACTGAGGAGGGTCTTTCGCTTTGGAAAGCGTAGCCTTGATGGCCCAGTTTCAGGTTGTGCTTTTGATAATCGCCACCAAGAATCGCTAATCACAGAGTTTGACATTAAATATGCAACAAGAGTAGCTCGTAACTTCTCCCAAGTGAACCAAATGTTTTGTAAATCGTATAGCTTTTATTTATGTTGCAGATATCAAACTTCAAAGCCGCTCCGCTCTCCGTTTCTCAACAGTTTCCATCTAATCCTCCTGTCCACTTTGATTTTCACTTGTCCGCTTTCGCTGATTTGTGTAGAGCCCCAATCTGGTCGTCTGGCTGTTTGCTGTTGTCTAGACTGATGTGTGTTTGTTTGCGGTGAGGCTTTTTCCTATTGATCACAGAAGATAGCATCCCATTTTGTTTGATCAAGTGTGCACAGCAGCGGTGGTCATGATTATGATCACACCACTGAGGGAAATAACCGTGATGGGATGGCCCTAAATCTTTTATTATTTATATTTCTGAATGCATGTGCACCTGACTGTATCATATACCTTATATCATGTACAGCTACATACACATTTGTGCACAAATACATGCTAAACCCAGGCCACAGATTAACTCTTCCTGCTACTTGAATTGAAAAATCTGCTTTCCATCCAGTGGCTGGGAAGAAAGCAGGGAAGGCCATCACCACAGCGCTGTGTTTTATGTCAGTCGAACTGCATACACGTGGGGGCCAAGTGCAGGTTAACCTGTCGCCATCTCTGCTTTGTGAGACACCACAAAGTCCCGACCCGTGTAGATTTATTAGATCATTTTTTATGATGGAAAAGTACCACAAAGGAATGAAACTGCAGCCACAACAAAGACATCATAAATTAAACTTAAAGACATTAAAGATTTTAGACCTCCTTACAGCATTGCTAATGTGTCCTACTTTGTCCCACATTTGTTTTGTTGGGATCTGAAGCGAGCATCATCCTGGGCATCAACCAAATGTGAAATAACAAAATGACTTCGCGGCTCTTTAAACCCAACTTTCATCTGTCTTGCAGGCTTTTAGTAATTCAGTGTCTCTCTCCTGCAAAGGGCAACATACTGTACTGCACAGTGACAGTCAGCTCTGTCTTACAGCGCCCCCTGATGGCTCCTCTTTGTCATTACACCCTCCACACGCACTAAACAGTGAGTGGGTGAGTGAGCAGGCTCGGATGTGGTCATCATCCGTTATTTTGGACCGATCAGTGCAAGGCTGCGTTTGAGGACCAGGCCGGAGAAGTACATTTATTCCGTCCGGAGAGGTAGGTACCGACTGTTGTTGTTGTTGTTTTGTAACATTACTCAGACCCACCCTGAAAACAGTGACGATTTGTGACTGTTTGGATCTTTTCAGACGTGTAACGCTGCAGCAGCATCCGGAATTATTACTGCAGCGCACAAGATGCGTTATTGTCCTTTCTCCTGTTTTTGTTTTGCAACATCAGATGAGCTAATGCTATCAGCTACACGGACAGGAAGCGTCCCTAACCTTAGATAAACACACTGTGCTCTGATGAGCTGAAAACGTACATGATTTAAAAGCTATCAGTGTTTGTTTACATTGTGTAATTGTGTGTAAGGCCCACCAATATGGCAGCAGTGCAACAGTGAAATCTGCACAATCACTGATCACTGATGTCATTTACTGACTCCTCAATAATAATCCAGCTAACAAAAGACGTTTATAATGAAAATAATAAGGATATTCACATTTACAAGATGGCATGTCTTTTCCTTGGGTTTGAATCGACTTTACAAAGATGAGAATTTAGTTTCATTAAAGGATTATCACACCTTTATTTACTGGAACATGCTAAGTGATCAAACTCATCTTTTTTACTGAACTGTATAGTTATGTCAGCATATCCAAGCATTAAACACCATATTAAGAAAACAAAAACAAATACAGTGGTGTGCGAAGGTTTGGCCACACCCTGACAAATAACACATTTTGGAGGGTATGGAACATAAAACACAATATTTGCAGCATTACATTAATTCATTGTTTCATTTTATTTCATAAATTAAACAAAAATAAAAACATAATTTTGGCATGTGCAAAAGTTTGGGCAACCTAAGAGTTCTGCAGTCTCAGTTTATTTTTTACAAGGTCTCATCAGCTCATTAGGCCTGAGGCATGTGAACAACTATCATTAGGAAACATCAGCTGAAGCCAATTTCAACCCCTCACATGTACTCTGACTCCTCAAACCTTGTGTGAACACTCACCAACTATGGGTTCCTCTTATCAACTGCGTAAGACTCTTATTGATGCCCGCTGATGTCCATAATGCAGGAGAGGGCTACATGAAGATAGCAAAGTGCTGTTTCCACAGTGTGAAATGTAATTAAGAGATGGCAGTTTCGGGGGAAGTGTGGAGGTTCAAGATGAGATCTGGAAGACCAAAAGAAAATTGCTCGTATGCTGCTCAGAATTCATTAGAACTAGGGCTGCACGATATGGTAAAACCATTATATTGTGATTATTTTGACAGATATTGCGACTGCAATTCACGATTATGTGGGAATAAAACTTTTATCATCACAAATTAAATTAAAAAAAAAAAAAATATCATGATGATATGAAACTTTTGTGGCAAACAAACATGTTTTCTTAAATCTGGAGAGCAAGATTTGTAGACTAGCGCACTTCTGCAGTACTTCATTATAATGCTGTTTTGTCACACAGTTTACTTTTATCATAACATTACAGCTCTTTCAATTTTCATATTGCACTTGGCCATATTGCGATTTTGATAATATTTTGATTAATTGTGCAGCCCTAATCAGAACCTTCATCTGAAAGCAAAACACCTGCAGCAGCTTTTAGCAGACTCAGGAGTTCCACTGTCCAGAGCTGCTTATAAATAAAACCATCATGGAAGAGTTGGTAGAAGAAAATCTTACCTGTGTTCATGTCATAAAATCCAAAATCAGAAGTATAAAACAGGACATCTACAGAAGCCTGATGTGTTTTGGACACAAGTCCTGTGAACTGATAAAGTAAAAATAGGACTCTTTTGTCACAATCAGCAAAGGGATGTTTTGAAGAATAAATAAGCAGCATTTTATGAAAAGCACACCTCCCCATCTGTTCACTATGGGGGTGGATCTATCATGT